TCTTTCTTTCTTTCTTTCTTTCTTTCTTTCTTTCTTTCTTTCTTTCTCTCTCTCTCACATTCTCTCTCTGTTTCTCTGTCTTTCTCCCTTTCTTTCTCTCTCTGTTTCTGTTTCTCAATGTTTCTTCTCTTTATCTTTCTCTCTCACACATATCTCTCTGTTTCTCTCTTTCTCACATTCTCTCTCTCTCTGTCTCTCACTTTCTCTCTCTGTGTGTGTTTCTGTTTCTCTCTTTTTCTCTCTCACATTCTCACTCACTCTTTCACTCTCTCTGTTTGTTTCTTTCTCTCACATTCTCTCTCTCACTCACCCTTTCTCTTTCTTTCTCTCTGTTTCTCTCTCTTTCTGTTTCTCTCTCTCTCTCACTCATTCTTTCTCTCTCTGTTTCTGTCTTTCTCACATTCTCTCTCTCTCTCTCTCTCTCGGCCTTATTAAGTGGGGAGGCAGTGGGGGGCTCCGAGGGCTTCCCGGCTGCCATTTTGTGCCCACCATCATCTTTGTCCAAGAGGCTCTCGGGCTCTTCAGTTGGACGTTCTCCCGGAAAGTCTGATGCAGGAGACCAAGTGGCAGGAGTAAACATTCACACCCACCGCGAGTTCACACTTTGGGGTGAGGAAGCCCCCCCCCAGGCCCATCCCTGCTCTCCAGAATTCGGAGAAAGATGGCTTGAGGTCCAGATGTTTCTCTTCTCTCTGTCTCTGGCAGCCCCGCCTCGCCTCCCCCCCCCACCCTTCCGGCTACCTGCCCGTTGCAGGAATTGGGTATGGTCCAGTTCCCTGATGGCACCTGTGCCAGAGGTGGCATGCAGAGCCCTCTCGGTGGACACGCGAGCCGTCGCCTTGCGTGCATGCCTCCCACCATATGCGGTGGGAGGTGTGTTGGACACATGGGGGTGGGTGGGAGGCACGCACGGGGTGTGTGTGTGTGCATGCATGCAGGATGTGTGTGCATGCGCGGGAGACAGGGTTCATGCACGGTGCCATTTGGACCTGTTTCCCACAGGAAAAAAAATACCGGGAGCCACAAAACCTGAATGGAATGGAATGGAATAGAAATATTGGAGTGAAAAACAATATTTCTATTCTATTCTTTTTCACTCCAATATTTCTATTCCATTCCATTCCATTCAGGTTTTGTGGCAATAAGAAATATTGGAGTGAAAAAGAATAGAATAGAATAAAATAGAATAGAATTGAATTCTTTATTGGCCAAGTGTGATTGGACACACAAGGAATTTGTCTTTGGTGCAAATGCTCTCAGTGTACATAAAAGAAAAGAGACATTCATCAAGAATCATCAGGTACAACACTTAATGATAGTCATAGGGTACAATAAGAATAGAATAGAATAGAATAGGAGTAGAGTAGAGTAGAGTAGAATAAAATAGAAATATGGAAGAATAGAACAGGAATAAAATTAGAATAGAATAGAATTGAATTGAATTGAATTGAATTCTTTATTGGCCAAGTGTGATTGGACACACAAGGAATTTGTCTTTGGTGCAAATGCTCTCAGTGTACATAAAAGATACATTCATCAAGAGTCAAGAATCATCAGGTACGACACTTAATAATAGTCATAGGGGACCATAAGCAATCCAATCATACTAGGAAACAAGTCAATAGTTGAATTAAAGATTCTGTTTTCTTCTGAAATTTTTCTTGGATTTGTCCATGGTTAGCCTACTGGGGGAGGGGTCAAAAAGCTCAATAAATCGCATGCTGGCGGGTGTTGCACCTTGGCAGTTGTAATGCATATTTTGAGACAGGGAGCCGCAGCCAAGGGATGAAAGAGCTGCATGCGGCTCCAGAGCCTTGGGTGGCCGACTCCGGAGGTAGACAGACATTTAAGATAGATACATGGAGATGGAGAGAGCGGGGTATAGATAATACGATTATACCCAAGAACTCCTGTGAAAGTGCTCGGCTGCCAAGAGGCATCCCTCCCTCCCTCCCCTTCTCCTGGGTTGGCTCCTTTCTCCTCCCCCTCCCAGCCTCACCTGCTCGCCCTCCTTACCTCCCTCCTGCAGATGACCGGGTGGACCAGCGCACTTGCCTGATCTGCGGGGACCGAGCGACGGGCCTGCATTACGGCATCATCTCCTGCGAGGGCTGCAAGGGCTTCTTCAAGCGCAGCATCTGCAACCGGCGGGTGTACCGATGCAGCCGCGACAAGAAATGCATCATGTCTCGCAAGCAGCGCAACCGGTGCCAGTACTGCCGACTCCTGAAGTGCCTCCAGATGGGCATGAACCGGAAAGGTGCCGGTCGATGGGCAGGGAGCGGGCCGGGCAGGGTTGGGTGGAAGGGGGTTCCTCGTTGAACCAGCCCTACCTTTAGGTGGAGAACCTGGACGGGGGGGGGGGGGGGTCAGGATAGCAGTCTTCTGGTATCGGATGGGCTACCCCAAAGGAGAGGGAGTCAAGCTATTCCCCAAAGCCACCTGAGGGCAGGAGAAGAAGCCATGGGTGGAAACTAATCCAGGAGAGAAACAACTTAGGAATAAGGAGGAATTTTCCTGATAACCAGTGGAACTGCTTACCACCAGAAGTTGTGGTTGCTTCATCACTGGGGTTTTCAAGAAGAGACTAGACAGTCTTTTATCTGGAATGGGGATAGGTTCTCCTGCTCGAGCAGGGGGCTGGACTATATGACCCCCAAGGTCCCTTCCATCTTGATTCCGTTCTAATTGTAATTCTATTCCTATCCTATTTCTATTTCTTTCCCATTCCAAATTCTATTCTATTTCTCTATTTCCATTCCAATTTCTATTCTATTTCTATCTCTATTTTTCTTATTTCGTTAGAGAAGCTTCAGGAGCCGATGTCCAAGTTCTGGGCAGGGTCTCCATTTAAAAAAGGAAAAGAAAACAGGCTGTTTTCTTCCCTGCATCTGGTTGGCACTTGGAGGCTGGCTTTCCACTTGCTTTCGGAGCACCCCAAGAGCGAGGAAACAAAAGTTTTCCCAGGGGGGCAGCAGCTGATCTGGTGTGTGGCCACCAGAGGGAGCCTGAAGGTCTTCGACCAGCGCTGGCCAACGATGCAACCCACAACCGGAATCTCTCCAGAAAGCTTCTCGTATTTTTGTGGCTGCAGACCCGGCTTAAACAAACAAACAAAAGTCAGTCTCACACACACACCCCAACACACACACACCCGGGGCAGAGCCCCCTATTTTCCCTGGCCAAGTGGAGCGGTGGAGACCTCTTATTGTCTAGGAAGAAGAGACGGTCGTAGAGATCCGTCTCTCTGCGGATCAGGTTGGACCACGCATTTCTGGCTTTCTCTTTCTTCTCCTCCACCATTGGCAGACCTATGACCGTAATTTGGGGGCTCAGTGAAGGTTGTCAGTTGAGGATTACCTTTAATACAGAGGTCACTGTGGCCTGAAGAATCCTGAGGAGCCCAAAACGTGTCATGTAGCGCCTCCTCCTGGTCAGGAGATTGTAGAGCAATAACACTTAATCACTTCACAGCGCTTTCCAGCTCTCTCTCTCTAAGCGGTTTACAGAGTCAGCCTCTTTTCCCCCAACAATCTGGGTCCTCCTTTGACCCACTCAGAAAGATGGAAGGCTGTGTCAACTTCGAGCCATCAGAATCGAACTGCTGGTAGTTGGCAGAGTTAGCTTGCAATCCTGCATTCTAACCATTGCGCCACCACAGCTGATAGATCGATAAATAGAGGGGGGGGGGCAGGCAGGCTAGATAAGATAGATGGGTAGATAGATAAGATACACAGATAGATTAGATCGATATAACACATAGACTTATATACTACTTCGCAGTGTTGTACAGCCTCTCTGAGCGGTTTATGGAGTCAGCCTCTTGCCCTCAACAATTGGGTCCTCATTTGACCCACCTCAGAAGGATGGAAGGCTGAGTCAACCTTGAGATGATCAGGATTGAACTGCTGGCAGTGGGCAGAGTTAGCTTGCAATCCTGCATTCTAACCATTGCACCACCACAGCTGATAGGTAGGTAGGTAGGTAGGTAGGTAGGTAGGTAGATAGATGATAGTTAGATAGATGATAGATAGATAGATAGATGATAGATAGATAGATGATAGATAGATAATAGATAGATAGATATTGTAGATAGATATTGTAGATAGGTAGATAGTAGACAGCCATAGGGATAGATAGCAATAGCACATAGACTTATATAGCGCTTCACAGTGCTTTGCAGCCCTCTCTAAGCAGTTTACAGAGTCAGCCTCTTGCCCTCCAACAATCTGGGTCCTCATTTGACCCACCTCAGAAGGCTGAGTCAGCCTTGAGCTGGCGGGCATCGAACTGCTGGCCCTTGGCAGAGTTAGCCTGCAATCCTGCATCCTCGCCACCGCGGCTCTATGACCTCTCGAATCAAGGGGAGGAGGCCCTCTTGAATTTAGAAGTCACCAAAAGGCTCTTTTAATACAGGAGCACGTGTGTGTGGGGGGAAGGTAGGCACACCTGCTTAGCTTCCAGGGATGGTTTAGCTGGGCACCATTGCTGGAGTCCTGACCAGTTTCCTTTTCCGTCCCTGCCAGCCATCCGTGAAGACGGCATGCCCGGGGGCCGGAACAAGAGCATTGGACCTGTCCAGGTGAGCACTACCTTCCTGTGCAAGGTGTGGCTTTCCTGCTGCCTCCCAAGTCCCACCTGCCCGCTCCCCAATCCCCAAGGAGGGTGGGTTTCACGCCGGTTGAATGGAAGGGTCGAGCCACACACCCAAGCGGCTGGTTTTTCTTTTTCTTTTTTTCTCCCGGGGCTGGCGGGGGAAATCAGATCTCCGAGGAAGAGATCGAGCGGATCATGTCCGGCCTGGAGTTTGAAGGAGAGGCCAACATCTCCTGGTGTAACAACGGAGACAGCGACAACAGCTCGCCGGGCAACGGGGTGTCGGAAAGCAACCAGCCTTCCCCGGTCTCGACTCCGTCTTCGAGGTGGGACTTTGGGGGGGTGGGGGGAGGGGAGCGCGAAGGTTTGTGGGGAGGGGCCTTCCGATCAGTCGCGGGTCTCTTTTCCCCTCCCTCTCCCTTCTCTCTCAGCCCTGCCTTGGCTCTTCCAGCAGGTCCGTGGAGATGAACGGGTTTACGGTTCTCAGGGATCAGTACATGAGCACCCCAGTATCCGCCCCCTACCAGTACCTGCCGCACCTTCTCAGCTGCCCAACTCACATGGCCCGGCTGCCCCCCCAGACCCGCAGCCTCGACCCCCAGGCCCATGGGCTCCTCATCAGCCAGCTGGTGTCCGCGGAGGACTTGGAGCCCTTGGGCACCCCGATGCTGATTGAAGACGGGTGAGTGCCGGCTCTCTTCCTCCTCTTGGCACTGAAGTCAGTCGCTTAAGTGTGATTACACTAGCCGGATCCCCACGCTTCGCTACGAAACTATGCTGTCGAGTTTGGTTTTGGGGGAGGAAAATCAGGAGAGAAGAAATTGTGCCTCGGCCTACCAGCATCCATCGCTGTTCATCCGGCTAGTGTCCTGTCAGTGTCTGAGAGAGTTGAGGTCTGTTTGGAAACTGGAACACTTATTTGCTATGTGAGCAAGAAGGAGACAGCAAGGAGCCTGGGCGTGGCTTAGCTCAACTGTTCTGGACTAAAGCTGCTTGCTGCTGCTGTGAAACTGAAACTGAAACTCTTCTCCTCTGCTTGTGTTTTGCATTTGGAAGAGATTTCTTTTCAGGTGGGGAGGGGGAGTAGAACTCCTTAGCATCAGAGCGTGTTAATAATGATAATATATGAAATACGAATGCTCTGATGGTCATTTCGAAAAATCCTTTCTTAGTGAGCCCCTAGGAGCCAAGAGGCCAAATGTCAAGTTTGTAGGCTTTACAGTTCTGGAGATTTTGTGATGATACGTGAGTGGTATTTTGCATAGATAGATAGAGAGAGAGAGAGAAAGAGGGAGAGATGGATAGAGAGATAGAAAGATAGATAGATAGATAGATAGATAGATAGATAGATAGATAGATAGATAGATAGATAGATAGATAAGACAGATAGATAAGATAGATAGATAAGATAGATAAAGATAGATGATAGATGGATGATAGATAGATAGATAGATAGATAGATAGATAGATAGATAGATAGATAAGATAGATAAGACAGATAGATAGATTAGATAGAGAGGGAGAGGGAGAGAGAAGTTTTAATTTTTTTCCTCTGGTTCTTTTTCCATGAAACCCAAAAGGAAAAGTTCTGGTTTCATTTTTTTTAACCTTCCATTTTCAAGGGGGTGGGGTGGGGGTTGTATTAAAACACAAATTGTACTTTTCTTCTTCCTTTTTGGCTTTTATCCCACGCCCAGCATCGACGATAGAAGGTCCTCTCTTTCTTTTCACACTTCCAACCCCTTTTCCTGTCTCCCGCCTCTTCCCACAGGTACCGAGTGACCCAGGCCGAGCTGTTCGCCCTGCTGTGCCGGCTGGCCGACGAGCTTCTCTTCCGCCAGATCTCCTGGATCAAGAAGCTGCCCTTTTTCTGCGAGCTGTCCATCAAGGACTACACCTGCCTGCTGAGCTCCACCTGGCAGGAGCTGATTCTCCTCTCCTCCCTCACCGTCTACAGCAAGCAGATCTTCGGGGACCTGGCGGACGTCACCGCCAAGTATTCGCCCTCCGACGATGAGCTCCACAGGTTAAAAAAAGTGGGGGGAGGGGGATTTGGGAAGGGGTCGCAGGTGCTCTCTGAGGTGGATTGCTTTCCTTGCAGACGTTTCATGACCCAGCTAGGTAACATCATCAGTGCTGGAAGGGTGTGGGGATTGGTGGAATGGAGGAAAAGAAAGGGAGGAGGAGGACTGTGGGGTCCTTGGTGCTCTCTGAGCTGGGTGGTTTTCTTGCAGACGTTTTGCTACCTAACCAGGTAACATCATCAGTGGGCGGGGCGAAAGGAAAGGAAAGGAAGGAAAGAAAGAAAAGAAAGAAAGGAAAGAAAGAAGGAAGGAAGGAAAGAAAGAAGGAAGGAAGTGAGGTCTTTGGTGTTCTCTGAGCGAGGGAGTTTTGTTGTAGACGTTTCATGACCAAACTAGGTAACGTCATCAGTGCTGGAAGGGAATAGGGTTTTTAGGGATGAGGAGGAGGAGGGCTGTGGGGTATTGTACTTTATTAATTTATTTGATTCTTTTTGTTAGCTTTTTATTGTTGTTGTTGTTTTTTAAAAAATATGGTTTTACATTGTGTAAGCCGCCTCGAGTCGCCATGGGCAAATATAGGCGGCCATACATAAATCCAATAAATCAATAAATAAATCCATTGTGCCGTGCGAACCAGCATAGAAAGCAGAGAACTAGATAGCTGATCGTTGGAGCAAACCGGTCCTGGGAGACACCGGTTCGCTCGCACCATGCCGAATCGGTAAAACCCCATCCCCTGCAAATGGCTATTTTTCACCCTGAACAACTTTGGTGGGTGCTGGACGACGGGCTCGTATTTATGGCGGCCTCAGCGTCCCAGGGGGGGAGTGTCACATGGTCCCCGATTTCGCGACCTTCCGACGAGCACTCGGTTCGTGGGGGAGGAGGAATCAGATTAGTTTAACAACCTCGTTAGCTTCCCCCCGTGGACTTTTCGCTCGTCAGAAGGTCGCCAAAGGGGATCATGTCACACACACACACACACACACACACCCCTCGGGACACTGCAAACCGTCATAAGTATGAATCAGCTGCCGGGCGTCTGAATATCGATCCCGCAACAGTCGTGAGTGTGGGGGCAAAAAAAAAAAAACCAGCCGTAAACCCCCCCCCCCCCCCCCCCCCGGCGGCATTGTAACTTCAAACGGTCACTAAATGGAACGGTTGTAAGCCGAGGACCTGTATGTGGGATGTGTGGTGTTTGAAGAGCCACCTGAGGGTCCCCCCCAATTCATCCGAGGCCTCCCTCTCCATCTCCCCAAATCATTGTCGGCCCTCCTCCTTGGGAGGGGAGGGGGTCTGCTTTTCATGCAGACGGGAGCATTTCCTTGAACCCCTCCTTCCAACCCCCCCCCCCCCCCCCCCCCCAAAAAAAACCAGCTTTGAAGACCGCCTCCCTCCCCAGGGCCAAACCCCAAGAAAGGAAGGCGTCCCCTTTCCAGATGTGCGGTCTGCTCTTTCCACGTGAGCCCCCTGTGCTTTTTTGGGGGAGGGGGGCTTCTGGCCAAGAGACTTGATCTCCACACACACACACAACACCCCTTTTGCTGCGCATCTGCCTCGCCTCTCTCCCTTTTTTGCTCCAGTCTTCCTCGGGGAAACCTTGACCCGGCGTGGACTTCGGGCTTGCCTTGAAACTCCTACCCTCCCTTTAAATCAAGCCCTGTCGCCTGCCCCCCCTCCCGCCCCCCCCCTCCCCCAGCTGCACGTTTGCAACGTGGAGTAAAAAATTTATAGCATCTGGTTTTCTCCTCTCCTCCGTTCTCTTATCAGGAGCTGAAAAGGGCCGCACCAGCCGCCAGATTGGCTCTCTGGGGAGAGCGTGGGTGGGTGGGTGGGGGCTCCAGTGGCTATCTGGGGTGGGTGAGGGGACACAGACGTCTCCAGAAAGAGACCGAGGCAGAAGACCTAAGCCGGAGCCCCCGTCCGAGGGCCACGACGGCGAACCTACGGCACGTGAGCCGGTCACCCCAGCTCAGCTACACCACGCATGCGCGCCCGCCTGCCAGCTGCGTTTCGGCGTCCAGCTGCACATGCGCAGGGGGCGGGGCGCATACCTGGC